AATAAAACGGTCAAAAAAAAGGACCTCGAAAAAATGATGGAAATTTTTTCCCAAAAAAATCAAGAAAAAGGTAAAGCGCTTGTTGCTAAGCAGTTTATGGAATAGGGTTTACCCAGATCAACTACTTACGATAAAATTGTAAAACTGGAGAATGGATCTTCAAAAAGAAAAGTTGGAAGTGGTCGAATCGCTAAGGTAACTACTAAAGAAAATATTCCAAAGATTGCTGCATTTTTTGAAAATAAGTCAGGGTGCACCCAAAATAAAGTAGCTCAAGTTTTTAACTGTAGTCAAACTCAAATTTCCCAAGTATTAAAAACAATAACAAATCCTCCATATCGTAGCCATCAGCAGAAGAAAGCAATGCGCCTAAATGTCGTAAATTGTATGAAAATTATAAAAACTTGGATTTTGTTATGGATGATGAAAGCTATTTAACCTTAAACAATAGCACAATAACTGGTAATGATAGGTTTTATGCCGCTGATTCTTCTCAATGTTCTGACGAAGTAAGATACAATTTGCGTAAAAAGTACGAGGACAAGCTCTTAGTTTCTTGTTGCATTAGCCCCCATGGAATAAGCCCTCTTTATATTCACAGTAAGCAGGCAATCAACCAGTATACTTATAAATCCTTATACACAGTAAGCAGGCAATCAACCAGTATACTTATAAAGAGATACTAGAAAAAGCTTTACTTCCTCTAGTATCAGAATATTATAAAAAAGACAATGTGTTTATCTTCTAGCCTGATCTAGCTCAATCACATTACGCAAAGTCAGTCATCAACTTTTTAAAATTGAAAAAAATCAAAGTTTTACCCAAAGAAATAAACCCAGCTAACGTTCCAGAAGCAAGACTAATTGAAAACTTTTGGGATGATTTAAAACGGCTAGTGTACGAGAATAATTGAAGAGCTGAGAATTTGGAAGAGCTTGAAGCAAGAATTAGATATTGCTATTCAAAGATGAATAAAGAAATTTCCCTTCAAATAAAACATCTTTCAAAAAAACTTTATAATATTGCTAAATATGGTATTTGAAATAACTATTTTAATATATTTATAAACTACATATACTAACATATTAACAGTTGAAATATTAAATAATAAAAATTTTTAGTTCTTAAAATAATAATTTTTAAATTTTGTCCAAAGTTTTATTTATGAGGTGTTATTTTAGAAAAAATTTATAGTAATAATGGTTTATCATAAAAATTATTCATTGAACATCAGATCTTGGGTCATTTGTGATTGAAAAAAGGGCCTAACACGCTGTGCTGTGCTGAAAAATATCCAGTCAAACTGTACAGAGAAGAATTGATTTAAGTGGTTTAATAAAACGTCTTCAGAAAAATAAACCCCTCATTAGCGGTATAAACAAAAAAAGTTTAGCATTTGCAAAACTGTGTATTAACAAGAGTAACTCAGTGTTATGGTCTGATGAGAGTAAATTTTAAATATTTGGCTTTAAAAAATAACAAAGAATTTGGTGCAGACCTTGTAGTGCACACTTAAAAATCTTAAAAAAACTGTCAAGCATGAAGCTCACTTATTTCAATTTATATATTCAATTTTTTCTAAACATTTCTTTTTTACACAAAATTAAACTTTAAATAAGCATGTTCCAAGGATGCCTCAAAAATTTGCATAAAACTTAAGTTAAACATTTTTTTATAACACAATTTGAAGCGCAGTGAATGTTTTTTAATAAATACAATATAACTTTAATAAATGCTGTTTGAAGAAATAATTTTTGCTTTCACAACAAAATTAAAAATAAAATCATAAAATTTTAAATAATACATAAGGTAAATAAATTAACGTAACTTTTTTATTTGTTATTTTGCTAATTTTTTATTTAAAAAAAATCATTTTAGTTTCAAAGCTGCAATTAGAAATTTAAGAAATAATTAATTTAAAATTTTTAACGTATTTTAATTCATTTATACAAATGTCAAGAATAGAAATAAATTTGTTTATATGAAACTTTTTTTTTTATGAATTTTATGATGTAAAATTCATATTAGGCTAATGCATTCTTTATTTAAAATTCTTTATTTAAAGCAAGGCCTGTAAAATGATTCATATTTTTAAAATTTTTATACAACTTTGCTTTATTTGAGACCCAAAATGACATACTTTTGAAAAACTTTTTTTTGATAATACTTGGGAGCTATTTAATATCTAAGGGTCGGTAGCAGCCCTTAAAAATAGTTTTTATTCAAAAAATTTTTAAATCCAGTAATATTTTATTATATAGAACAGATTTAGGTGGTGCAAGTAGACATTTTCAAAAAAAGGTGTTTTTAAAATTATCCTAGTACGTATATATGTATAGATATACACCCATAAGAATGAGGGTCGGCATTCAGCAATGCCACCTAACTGCTGACTTTAAAGTGTTTGAGATAAACAAAAAATGAACAACCTTGTTTTTATGTTTTATGGTAACCCATTTGTGTCAAATTCTTTTTGCCAACCTGATGTCAACCTGTAACAGTTTGAGGTCAGCAATTTATTGCCGACCTCATTTGTTCTAATTCCAAGGGTTGCATATATATGAATATATCCAAACTCTCAGTTGATGTAGAGCCACTCCTTTGCAGCAGTAGATTATAAGATAGTCAATCTATGTACTAAAGCCCCTGGCAGCAGGCTATTTCTGTATGATGCCAGAGATGTTATCAAAACACACATTCATAGTTATATATATGTATATGTATATATATATATATATATATATATATATATATATATATATATATATATATATATATATATATATATATATATATATATATATCTATATATATATATATATATATATATATATATATATATATATATATATATATAAATGATTCTAGAAGGGATTCAAAAATTCTCAAAAATCAAATCCTTACTTATTTTGTTTTTGTTGTGGGTATTTTAGATATTCTGCGCTTCAGCACTATCGAAATAAGGTTATTTATCCTTAAATACCTTTTCAAACAGTCATTTAAAAGGTTAACCAGGGCAAGAAGTATCAATAAAGAGATTATACAATTTTCTTATATTATTTTATTATGAAATATGTATTATTAAATAAAAAATGCTTAAATTTAGACTTCAAAATGTCGAATCGCGAATCAAGACCTGCTTTAATTTGGGATTCAATTCTAAACAAAAACTGCCGATTCACAGGGCCCTAATACATATACATATATATATATATATATATATATATATATATATATATATATATATATATATATATATATATATATATATATATATATATATATATATATATATATATATATATATATATATATATAATACATAAATAATACAGGGCTTGAACTAACTCAAAAAAATCTTATTGAGAAAAAAAAAAATTATTATTATGAATATCTTGTTTACAACTATTTAAAATTATTGTAAAAAAATAGTACATAATACTTCATATCATTTTTTTAAACATCCTTTTTTTTTAAAAGCTTCACGACTTGATTTATGAATACATTCCTGTCAAGCGATATAAACTTAATTGGCAATTTATTGTACAATTTTATTCCATTGTAATAGACTTTTTGTCCGCTCTTCTAGTTTTGATTAAGTGATAATTTTTTGCATTTTTTAATCATTTACTTTATTGTTTTTATACAAAATCTTTGAAAGACATCCATTTTCTGTGGTTGAATAGCATTGTGTATACTTTTTGAAAATATTGTGTAAAAACTTTCATTTAAATACCTTCTTTTGCAGATAATCAGTTTAATTTAGTCAACATTTATATATATTTATATATATATATGTATATGTATGTATGTATATATATATATATATATATATATATATATATATATATATATATATATATATATATATATATATATATATATATATATATATATATATATATATATATATATATATATATATATATTTATATATATATATAACTTGTTGTACTCATTTATTTCACATTTCTCAAGTAAAGTGCTGAACATTTGTGCTTTCTTTAAGCTTTAATATTGTTTATGTAACTTACTGTTAACTCTTCATTGCTCTTGTTTACTTGATCATTATCTTGATCATTTTCTTGATCATGATCTTCTAATTCTCCAGCCAAACTATTTCTACTAGATTTATCATAACTCTCTGTAATAAAAAATTAAATAAAAAAAGTTTTATATAATCATCAGTAATATGTTAAATAATTATCATAATATAAAAATTAAATATATTTATAATATAAAATAATAATATGTAATAAATAATAGGGTAGTAGAATGTGGTAAATTAGGACTTATGCTCCAGCGTTTGAGGTTTAAATCTTACACCTCTGGAAGTACTAAGTACTGTGCTCAATTTAATGAATTTAATTTTTGAAAAAAACGAGGAGTTATCAAAACATTATTTTAAAATGCATTTTTTATGCCCTTTTTTTTATGTTTCAGGGTCATGAGCAACTGTTAAAAATATTTCTAACAAAGCTATGTTTTTAATTACAAGTTTATTTTTTTATATAGTACACCAGTTTTTCTAGGAAAATATTTTTGGCAGTGGTAACCTCGTAGCGGCGCCTGTTATATGGAAGTTGGCAAACATTTTGCTTGTATAAACGTTTTGATTTTGGCAGTGCTTAAATGTCGCCCAACTTAAATTTTTCAAACTTTATTTCTAAAACTAACAAAGATTGAGCAAATGAAAAATAAAATACTCACCTCATAGTGGGCCAAACAATGGATATTGCTCATGTTACCAAAATTTCCAGTTCATTAAAAAAAAATTATTTCAAAAACATGACTTGTTCAGAAACTATACTAGTTTGATAACATAATTTTGTTTTAAAAGATAGGTAATAGGTACAGGACACGACAAATCAATGAAGGTGCAAACGCTTGTTAAAAAAAAAGACTAACATCGCCTTTCTTTAATTTTACTTAAGCAAACGTTGATGTTCGCTTAAAATTTTTTTAAACAAACACACTATTTCAGCAATTATTTTCCAAGA